GCCAGACAGAGAGAGACATACAGACAGAAAGCGAGAAATCACCCCCCAGGGGGGATGGCCACGCCGCAATCCCTTCTCCTCCGTTCTCCTCTCAGGATCTTGGGCACGCACAGACAGGCGCCCGGCGTGAGTTTTAAACCACCGGGTCTGGGAAGTGAACCGCGGTCGACTACATGGGAGTCCAGCGACATAGCCATTACGCACGCTAACTGCTGGTCCCCAGAATCTGCTTTCGAACAAGACTCCCCGTGATTCCTATGCAAAGCTGAGCCTGGAAAGGGTCTCCCCCAGCACTGGAGCTGGGTGTTTGCGTGTGGATGATCAGGTGAGGCGTGAGCGAAGGCCAAAGGCGAAAGCGCCCACCACGAGCCGTTCCTGACCTGCCCTACTGTCAGCGAGCTCATCAGCAAACGGGCAATTAAACCCAGATGGCTGCAAGTGCCCTCTGCTAGAAATTAGGGTGCTCGTCAAGTCAGTCGGACTTAGTTTCTTACTTCAGCTGATTGGGGTGATGAAAGTGATAAACAGACGCGCCACAGTTGGAGAGGACGGCAGACAGTCACGCGGGAACGCGGCCATGACACTCCGGAAGGTGAGACGGTCCCAGGGCAAGGAAGAGACGGGAACGTGGCCATTGACACTCTGGAAGGTGAGACGGTCCCAGGGCAAGGAAGAGGCTCTGCAGCCTGGGGCCAGGCCAGGGTTCTCAGCCTTAGTTGCACCCTAAACCCCGTGGTCATGCAGTCAGTGGTGAAGCCAGGACCTGAGCCCTGCCTGCCTGAAAAGGACGCGGGTGCCTTTTGACTTGTTTGAAAGACTGGAGAACATAAAAGTATTAAAAATTGGACGCTAGAGACAAAGTGGAAAGAGTTGGGAGGGGAAGAAAATAGGAAATTTGGGGGGAAATGGAGAGGAAAGACACTTGTGGGACAGATAAGGTTTATTATCTGTTGACCAGGATGTGTGTGGTGGTCTCAGCTGGGCTGCACGGAGGTGTAGATCATGCTGGGTGAAGTCTCTTCACAATCTAAATGACGTATAGCGATTTAATGTATGTATAATAATAATAACATATATAAATAAAAAAATTATTCAGACAAACTTAAAAATAAATATATAAATAAAAAAAATTATTCAGACAAACTTAAAAATAAACCAAAAAAAAAAAATGCAGAGGCTGGGCCCCCTCCCCAGGCTTTCTCATTCCAGAGGTCTGGGGTGGGTTTTGAGAATCCGCATGTCTAACAGGTGACATGCTCTGGGACCACTGGCCTAGGGCTATCGGCCTGGGTGCTGCCCTCTCTGGCCCTTGTCCCTGGGCAGACCCCTCACCTACCAGGGTGCTCGCCTCCTGTGTTAAACAGGGGCCATACTTGCCCTGCTTCCTGGCCGGGCTGCTGAGGTGATTAAATGAGGTGACGCGTGCGAAAGGTCTTAGAGAGGATAAAAATGCTATATACACATGAGGCCTAATCATTATCGATCAGGGAGTGCGGTGTGTAAGGGATCAGCTCCGAGCTGGATCAGAGGTGGCGAGTGAGGAGGTGTCTGTGGCTGGAGGGCAGGAGGGTGCTCCGGGCTTGGGGTGGAGAAGGACGGGGCAGGAGGCGACAGGGAGGGCAGCACGCGGAGGTGCCGAGACGTCTGCCAGGACCCTGCAGGGCAGGTGACCCCCAGATGGCAAGGACACACCCCCAGCTCTGACTCAGCGGGTGGAGGGGCAGGGCCTGAGAACTGTCTGAGCGCCACCCTCAAGACCCCCAGAGAGACAGTCCAGGCCCCCACAGGGGCTGGGGAGCGAGGAAAGCGGGCGTGGGGACCGCTGGAACAGAACCCGTGCTGAGGGACGTGCATCTGACACCGGTCCCCCCTGGAGGCGGGCACCCCAAGGTAAAAGGCTCTGCTTCCTGGCTCTGCCTGCTGCCTCCTTGGTGGCCAAGGTCAAGTGGCTTAATTGCTGGCAGCCTTGGTTCCCACCGTAAAGTGGGATAACAAGGACGTCTGCCTTACAGGCGTATCCGAGGGCTTCTGGAAGGTGCTGCGTGGGATGCGCTCACACAGGCTCCGCGCGGAGCTCAGTAAACATGAGCTGTCCTTACTGCTGCCACCGCTGTGTCCCCCCCACACACTGCGGGCCTGCC